GAGACCTGGGTTCAATCCGTGGGTTATGAAGATCCCCTGGAGAAGGGAAAGTCTACCCACTCCAGTATTTTGGCCTGGAGAGTTCCATAACTATATAGTCCGTGGGGTCGCAGAGTCAGACATGACTGAGCTACTTTCACTCACAGTGGTTTTGAGAGTGGGGCTCCAGGAGGAGCAGAACATCCCCAGGAATATGACAGAAATGGAGATTCTCAGACCCTGCTCAGTCATAATGACAGGAACTCACAGGAAGGAACCCAACAGTCCATTTTAACAAGTCCTCCAGGTGATTCTGATACAGCCTCTCATTGGAGAACCTCTGCTTCAGCAAATATCTGCTTCTCTACCCCACCCCCAACATCACTTGCTTTCTACTAGGTTGTATACACTCTTTGGGGCTTCCAAGGTAGCTCAGTGGTAAAGAATCCCAATGCAGGAGACACAGGAGACCTGCATTCAATCCCTGGGTTGGGAAGATCCCCTGCAGAAGGGAATGGTAACCCACCCCAGTATTCTTGTCTGGGAAACCCCACAGGCAGAAGAGCCTGGCAGGTTACTGTCCAAGGGGTCACAAAGAATCGGACCTGACTGAGCGACTGAACAGGAGCAGCATACACTCTTTGGTTCAACAAACATGGATCGAATCCCCTTCTGGGCCAGGTGTGCCTATATGTCACTGCAATTATGAACAGTCCCTCTTTTTCTCTTATCTTTTGTAAAGGTTATTTGCAAATCCGAGAAAGCTGATGACACTGATTAGTTCAAATTCTATTTAAATTGACCTTCTTTGGTGTCTCAAGTAGGCAATCATATCAGCAACTGATGGTGACCAATTTTGTTTTAATTTCGTAATATTATATTTCATTTACTCTTTTATGGTGTTTCTTTTGAATTAATAGAAACAATGTTAAATAGTTGTACCAGCTGGCACAATTTCCCCTTCCTGCATTTTATTGGTTGGTTTCGGCTTTTTAAGTTTTGTTTTTTTTTTTTTTCATTTATTTTTATTAGTTGGAGGCTAATTACTTTACATCATTGCAGTGGGTTTTGTCATACATTGAAATGAATTAGCCATGGATTTACATGTATTCCCCATCCCGGTCCCCCCTCCCACCTCCCTCTCCACCCGATCCCTCTGGGTCTTCCCAGTGCACCAGGCCCGAGCACTTGTCTCATGCACCCAACCTGGGCTGGTGATCTGTTTCACCCTAGATAATATACATGTTTCGATGCTGTTCTCTTGAAACATCCCACCCTCGCCTTCTCCCAGAGTCCACTAGTCTGTTCTATACATCTGAGTCTCTTTTTCTGTTTTGCATATAGGGTTGTCGTTACCATCTTTCTAAATTCCATATATATGTGTTAGTATACTGTAATGGTCTTTATCTTTCTGGCTTACTTAGCTCTGTATAATGGGTTCCAGTTTCATCCATCTCATTAGAACTGATTCAAATGAATTCTTTTTAATGGCTGAGTAATATTCCATGGTGTATATGTACCACAGCTTCCTCATCCATTCGTCTGCTGATGGGCATCTAGGTTGCTTCCATGTCCTGGCTATTATAAACAGTGCTGCGATGAACATTGGGGTGCACGTGTCTCTTTCAGATCTGGTTTCCTCGGTGTGTATGCCCAGAAGTGGGATTGCTGGGTCATATGGCAGTTCTATTTCCAGCTTTTTAAGAAATCTCCACACTGTTTTCCATAGTGGCTGTACTAATTTGCATTCCCACCAACAGTGTGAGAGGGTTCCCTTTTCTCCACACCCTCTCCAGCATTTATTGCTTGTAGACTTTTGGATAGCAGCCATCCTGACTGGTGTGTAATGGTACCTCATTGTGATTTTGATTTGCATTTCTCTGATAATGAGTGATGTTGAGCATCTTTTCATGTGTTTGTTAGCCATCTGTATGTCTTCCTTGGAGAAATGTCTGTTCAGTTCTTTGGCCCATTTTTTGATTGGGTCATTTATTTTTCTGGAGTTGAGCTGGAGGAGTTGCTTGTATATTTTTGAGATTAATCCTTTGGCTTTTTAAGTTTTAATGATGACTCTCAGACTTCCGTGGTGGCTCAGACAGTAAAGAATCTTCCTGCAATACAGGAGACCCAGGTTCAATCCCTGGGTCAGGAAGATCCTCTGGAGAAGGGATGGCAACCCACTCCAGTATTCCTGCCTGGAGAATTCCAAGGATAGAGGAGCTTGGCGGGCTATGGTCCACGGGGGTCACAAAGAGTCAGACATGACTGAGCAACTAACACTTTCACTTTCTTTCAGACTCAGTTAACATGGCTGTATTTTATCATCTGTGGGCAGTACTCTTCTGTTCTTAGATGACTGAAGTTTTGCTCTGTTCCCTTCCCATCAATGACTTAAATTTTGTTAAGTGAAACTTGGTTTGAAACTTATCATTATTTTGTGCATTGATCTATTGACATATACATTGTTATCTGACTTACTAATACTAAATATTTTTTGCACTCATCAGATGGATATTACTTCATAATGAGCTATGTTGGATTTTTTCAGATTAATTTTTTAATGTATTCATTTTAATTGGAAGATAATTACTTTACAGTATTGTGGTGGTTTTCATCAGATAACTTCATACTACTCCTTTTTTACCTTGGTGCCTCTATAGTCAATGTGAGGTTAACTTGTAGATTTCCTGTTTCTCTTACATATGATGATATTTGTTTTAAATCTTCATTCATCTTTCCATACGCTCTGATAGCACAGCACTGGGGATACAAAGGTGAGTAATGTGTGATCTGAACTTGTGTGGTTTATGATTCAGTAATTAGAGGGACAGCTCAATTAATTCCATAGGTAAGTGCAAAAACACAACTATGATTTGTTTAATAGAGAAAAATAGAGAAGGTTCTAAAGGCATGGACTAGTGAGACTGCAGTTGGTGGGCAGGGAGGGTTGATGAGGACAGGAGTCATCACGAGAGGACTAAAGCAGGGAGGAGGATCTCAGTAGAGAAGGCAGAACTTCCATAGACGTGGCTGGGGGAATAATCCTAGCATTTTTAGACTCCTAACGACAAACATGTGGGAGCATCGAGAGTGACAGGCTGGTATGATACTAAATAAGACTGGGAGCTTGGGAGGAGCAACATGTACAGGAAAACCTGGAAAGAGTGTTAAAAGAAAGAAAAACTGCAGACCAGTCTCCCTTCTGGACATTGAGGAGATCCTGGGATGAAAGCACCTTCCAGAGCAGATGTGTTTGCTTCTGCTTGGGACCTAGGGTACTGTTCATCAGGGACTAAGTTCCCGATTTTAGACTAAGTTCCTCAGGCTGAGGTTTCTAGGAGAGTGTGACTGTGGGCTCCAAAATCTGTGAGTGGTGACCCCAGCTACAGTGTTCTTTGAAAAGTGAGAGTGTTAGTCACTCAGTTGTGTCTGACTGTTTGCAATTCCTTGAACTGTAGCCTGACAGACTCCTCTGTCCATGGAATTCTCCAGGCAAAAATACTAGAGTGGGTTGCCATTCCATTCCCTTCTCTAGGGGATCTTCCCCACCCAGGGATCGAACCCTAGTCTCCTGCATTGCAGGCAGATTCTTTACCATCTGAGCTACCAGGGAATCTAACTCTTTTCTGACAGCATCTCACAAAGGGGTTTTCTTCTTGTTTTTCTGCCCTGTAATACTGGGCATAATGTGAAATCGATACTTATTAACTTCTGATTTTAACCTCATTTTAGTTTTACAGAAAAGTTAAAAGGACAAATAGTTCCTATGTATATCTTCTATTGGATCTCCCCAATTTTAACACTTTACCATCTTTACTTTTTTTAATCCACTTTTCCTTCTTCCTTTTGTATGTGTGTGTGTGTGCCTGTGTCTCTTGGTGAAATTTCTCAGAACCACTTAAGAGAAAACAGAACTGTACATATGGGATCTCTTTATTTCTAAGTCTTCAAAATTCACTAGAAACAAGGGCATTGCCTCATACAGCCACAGTCCAATTATCAAAATAATGAAATTAACATTTATACACTATTATTAAATTTACAGAACTCATGTCTATGTCGACAGTTATCCTAATAATTCCATCTGTAGCAAAAGAACATCTATGATTACATTCAGCTGACATGTGTCTTTAATCTCCTTTAATCCAGAATAATTGCTAGAATTTATTTGAATTTGTTGGCATTTACATTTCTGAAAGGGGCAGGTCAGACATGGTGTACAATGTCCTTCAACTTGAGTTTGTCTGATGTTCCCTAGTCTTTATATTTTTTATTTCTGCTTGTGCTGGATCTTTGTTGCTATGTGCAGGCTTTTCTCTAGTTATAGTGAGCTGGGGCTACTCTCCAGTTGTGGTGCATGGGCTTCTCATTGCAGTGGCTTCTCTTGTTGCAGAGCATGGGCTCTAGGATACCCAGGCTTCAGTAGTTGCAAGTCCTGGGCTCTAGAGCACAGGCTCAGTAGTTGTGGTGCTGGAGCTTAGTTGCTCTGTGGCATGTGGGATCTTCCCAAACCAGGAATCAAACCCATGTCTCCTGTGTTGGCAGGCGGATTCTTCACCACTGAGCCACAAAGGAAGCCCTGATGCTCCCGAGTCTTTAGACTGAAGTCCTACAGTTTTGGCAGGATCCCAAATGTACAGGATTTCAATCCCACAGAAGCAACATTATTTCCATCGTGTTGATTTGTCCCCATTGTGAAGATCCGTAACTGTCTGACAGGGTTACTATAAAACAGATCCTTCAGATAAGTGGTCAGGAATGCCAGACTCCATTTTATAGGATTCTATTTTCATTTTGTTGTCATAAAATGGATACTTAATACAAGAAATTAGGATAAGATATAAGATAAAAACAGTATTTCACTTTTGAGTGAACAAAGGTCCAATTCTTAGACAAAATGGCACACTTCATAAATATTAAAACTTGAGTGAAAGGCATGGTCAATATTTCTAATATGTGGAGGATGCCAGTTTGCTAATTCCTGCTGTTCTTGTCTCTTCCTTCCTAGATATATCAGCTACATGGAAGCAGGAAACAGAACAGGAGTTTCAGAGTTTATCCTCCTTGGGTTCTCTGAGGACCCAGAACTGCAGCCCCTCATATTTGGGCTGTTCCTGTCCATGTATTTGGTCACTGTGCTTGGCAACCTGCTCATCATCTTGGCCATCATTTTCGACTCCCAACTCCACACCCCCATGTACTTCTTCCTCTCAAACCTGTCCTTGGTTGACATCTGTTTCAGCACCAGCATAGTCCCCAAGATGCTACTGAGCATCCACACAGAGAACAAAGCCATCTCCTACATGGACTGCCTCACTCAGGTGTATTTTTCCATGTTTTTTCCTATCCTGGACACTCTACTCCTGACTGCCATGGCCTATGACCGGTTTGTGGCCATCTGTCACCCCCTGCACTACACGGTCATCATGAACCCACACCTCTGTGGTTGGCTGGTTTTTATTACCTGGTTCATTGGTGTCCTGACATCCCTCCTTCATATTTGTCTAATGAGGCACCTGACCTTCTGTAGAGATCTTGAAATTCCACATTTCTTCTGTGAACTGACACACATTCTTGAATTGGCCTGCTCTGATACCTTCCTGAACTGGACTTTGATATATTTTATGACTGGTGTGCTGGGTGTTTTCCCCCTCGTTGGGATTCTTTTCTCCTACTCACGAATTGCTTCATCCATAAGGAAGATGTCCTCATCTGGGGGAAAGCAAAAAGCATTTTCCACCTGTGGGTCTCACCTCTCAGTTGTTTCTTTATTTTATGGGACAGGTGTGGGGGTCCATTTCACTTCTGCAGTGACTCACTCCCCCCAGAAAATCTCAGTGGCCTCCGTGATGTACAGCGTAGTGACCCCCATGTTGAACCCCTTCATCTACAGCCTGAGGAACAAGGATGTGAAGGGGGCCCTCAGAAGGCTCCTCAGCAGAGCAACCTCTTGTTTGTGATCATGCCAATGGCTTCAGGACTAAGAGGTTCTGTGGATTGTTGTTGTTCAGTTGTTAAATCCTACCCAACTCTTTGAGACCTCATGAACTGCAGCACATCAGGCTTCCCTGTCCTCCACTATCTCCCAGAGTTTGCTCAAACTCATGTCCATTGAGTCAGTGATGATGTTCTTACTCTTGGAACTTCCCTGGTGGACCAGTGGTTAAGAATCCACCTCCTAATGCAGGGGACATGGGTTTAATTCCTGGCCCACGAACTAAGATCCCACATGCCATAGGGCAGTTAAGCCCATGCATCATAACTACAGAAGCCCAGATGCCCTAGAGCCTCTGTTCCAAAACAAAAGAAGCCTGAGCACTGCAACTAGAGAGCAGCCTCCACTTGCTGCAACTAGAGAGTAGACTCCACTTGCTGCAACTAAAGAAAAGTCCACATGCAGCGAAAAAGACCCAGCACAGCCAACAAAAAAGGAATTATTCTTGCATGTCTCAAATCATCTTGTTTTTTCACCCAATCCTGTAAGATCTGTGATTTTTTTTTCCTCTCCTAGTTTTTATTTTGTTTTGTTTTGTTGGCTGTGTCTCATGGCTTGCAGGATCTTAGTTCCCTGACCAGGGATTGAACCTGAACCATGGCAGTGAAGGTGTCGAGTCCTAACCACTGCACCACCAGGGAATTCCCTCTTCTAGTTTTTAACCCACATCCAAACAATTAATCTCCCAGTAATTTCTGTCCCATCTGTTATCCAAAAAACTATGTCTTTGGTCTTCTTACTTCCACACTGGTGAGTTAAAAACTTCAATTTGAAATTTACTATAGCTTTGTTATCTCCAATATTGGCATACCATGTTTAAACTCCTGATTGTTCACTTTATTTCTATGTGTTTGATTGTGGATTTGTGCTGTGTATATGTTTGTACCACCATCAGTGTTTTTTAAATTGGATAAAGTATGATTGAATACATATGAAAATATAGTTGATGTTTGAGTGCTTATTTTATGGTAAGCCTATGCTAACTGCTCTCTCTTATCTCATGTAATCTTCCCAATAGGAATGAATCTATTCCCATTTTAAAGGTGAGACAGTTGAGACTCTAACAGCCAACAAAACACACACACACATAAAATGGGATATACACAAACACCAGACAGTTGTACCAACTAGATGACATGTAAGATACAGACTCTACAATACAACCATTTCAATACTATGGAAGCGAAATGGAATCTCAACAAGAAAATAAAATTGTGTGTGTGTGTTGTTGTTGTTGTTCAGTTGCTCAGCCATGTCCGACTTCTTGTGACCCCATGGACTGCAGCATGCCAGGCTTCCCTGTCCTTCACTGTCTCCCAGAATTTGCTCAAACTCACATCCATTGAGTCAATGATGCCATACAACTATCTCATCCTCTGTCGCCCCTTTCTCCTCCTGCCTTCAATCTTTCCCAGCATCAGGGTCTTTTCCAATGAGTTGGCTCTTTGCATCTGGTGGCCAAAGTATTGAAGCTTCAGCTTCAGCATTGGTCCTTCCAATGAACAGCCACTGTATGTACATTACACATTTTTTTGGTCCATTCATATGTTTATGGACAGTTGGGTTCCTTCCATCTTTTGGCTACTCTGAATAATGCCACTATGAACATGGGTTTACCACCTACAGAAGTTTTAAAACCTTTTTTAAAGCAGTTCTGCATTTATAACTTTTGCCACCTATAAAATGACTAGGATTCTTATACACAAAATAAACAAAAACATTTTCCCATCCATGTTAAACTCAATTTTTGTCAACTGAACAACAACTCATCCCATGCTCTCTGCCTATGATCACAGCAATTCCTCCTTAGTTGATGCATCAAGTGCCACCCACTGCTCCCCACTGTGGTCTCCCAGGAGCCCCCAAAGGGAAAGCAGAGTGAGCAGGCAATCTCTTCCTAGAGTGTCCAGGGAAGTGAAATGTCTAGTTGACACGGGGAGAATACCATTCAGTTGCCCTGTGTTGGGAGTCAGATGGCCTGATTTAAGCTTGGCTTCACACCTTTCTACTTCATGACTGGTACAAATTACATAAAAATTCTTAGCTCCTTCCCTCTTCTATAAAATAATAATAAAGCAGAAAAACAGGATCATAATATCATTTATACATGGAATCTTTAAAAAATGAAGTTATTTTCAGAGCAGAGATAAAGTCACAGATGTAGAGAACAAACATGGATATCAAGGGGTGGGATGAACTGGGAGATTCGTATTGATACATATACACTACTGATACTCTGTTTAAAATAGAGAACCTACCGCAAAGCACAGGGAACTCTACTCAATGCTCTGTGGGCCTAAATGAGAAAGAAATCTAAAAGAGTGGATATATGTATATGTATAGTTGAATCACTTTGCTGCACAGCAGAAATTAACACAACATGGTAAATAACTATACTCCAATAAAAAGTTTAACAATAATAACAGAGCATGCACCTAGATTTTGAGGGTGATTATGCAGATGAAATGAAACAAGCTATATAAGCTCAGACTCGGGGCACAGGATGCCCTCCACAAAGGTTCATAACACAGTTGCTGTCCTTGTCTTCATTCTAATTATCACCTTCACCATCTTTTTGGAATACTTAGAGGACACTTGAGAGGCATCCATTTGCTGCTCATAGCTGAGATGCCTATGGGAGTTCAAATAGGTGTGGGAGAAAAGCAAAACTCTGAGGGAGACTCCTTGGACCCCTGTCAAAACAAAGAACACAAACTGCAGTCCTTGGAGCAGAAACCTTGCACATTGTTACCCTAGCATATGTGTCCCAGCTGTCCTGTTTGTCTTGATGGTGAGGAAATACTGCTCCCAGCAGTCCTTCCTATTCACTCCAGGGACCTCCAGACCCACACAAATTCAATGGACCTCTTTAAAGATGCATTGTGGACTTCCCTCGTGGTCCAATGGTTAAGAATCTATCTCCCAATGCAGGGGACATGGATTCAATCCTTGATCCGGGAAGATTCCACATGCCAAGGGGCAACTAAGCCCATGCACCACACTACTGAGCCCAAAAGCCGCAACTACTGAGCTCATGTGCTGCAGCTACTGAAGCCTGTGTGTCATAGAGCCTGTGATCTACAATAAGAGAAGCCACCAAAATAAGAAGCCTGCACACTGCGTTAGTATACTGTATTGGTCTTTATCTTTCTGGCTTACTTCACTCTGTATAATGGGCTCGACTAGAGAGTAGCCTCTGCTCACTGCAACTAGAGAAAGTCTGCACACAGCAACAAAGACCCAGCAGCCAAAAATAAAATATTAAATAAATAAAGTTTATTTAAAAGGTGCATTGTTTCCCATCATGAAAACCTGATATCAGACCTAGAAGGAAGAGAAAGGTTACTATGGTGTGACAGGTTGGCCAGTTAGCACTTCCATCTTTTTCTGTAGGTGGTTGGCATTTTTCTGTGGCCTAGGCATTTCATGCTGTCCATGGGGTTCTCTAGGCAAGAACACTGGAGTGGGTTGCCATTTCCTCCTCTGTTACCAAAGTTGAAGCTCCAGTACTTTGGCCAGATGATGTGAGAAGCCAACTCACTGGAAGAGACCCTGATGCAAAAAATTAAAGGCAAAAGGAGAAGAAGGCAGCAGAGCAAGAGATGGTTGGACAGTGTCACCGATTCAATGGACATGAATTTGAGTAAACTCTGAGACATAGTGGAGGATAGTGGAGGCTGGAATGCTATAGTCCCTGGAGTCACAAAAGAGTTGGGCATGACTGAGCGATTAAACAACAAGGCATTCCATATTCTTGGAAAATTTTTTATGCTCCCTTTGGGATGATCAGGTGAGGATTAAACTAATTGAAAATATATAAGACAGATGGACTGATCAGAATAAAAATCTCCTAAAGAGTAATGGTAATTGCTGCCACAACTCCCACAGATGGTCTCCATGTCTCTTCATTGGTCTCCCTAATTCTAGTCTGGCCAATCTCTACACAGCAGCCAGAGAAAATATAGAAATCAAAAAAGCATATCACGTCACATCATTTTTGCTATAAAGCATTGCAGTGTCTTCCCATCTCTCTAAGATTAAAACCCTAACTCCTCAAATGGGTCTATAAAGCTCTGAACAACCAGGGCCCTAACATTTGACCACACCCATCTCACATATTTTCCATGTTGGCTTCTGAAACACTGGCCTGTGACAAAAATATCAAACCAGTTGCTGTCTCGGGGCCTTGGCATATGTGCTTTCCTCTCCCGAGAGTGCCAAGTATGCTTTATCCCCCTTGCCTTTTGCCTGGCTCCAGGTCTTTTCTGAATATTTCCATCTTAGCTCCAAATGTCACCTCCTCTGAGAAGCCTCAGGCCCACTCTA